GCCCAGGGTTCCCCAGCCCAGGGCCTGTGGTTAGTGCAGGGCTGAGAACACCTGCCTAACAGATGCTAAACAAATTTAGCCACTTTCTCTGTGGTCAGCTGGAAAACAAGCTGCAGGTATCTAAATAGTAATTAGTGTTTGACAGCTGAAATGAAAACATTACAGAGTAATGAAAAAAAAATTAATTGCCATCTAGTAGATACTTTTTCTTTTAATTGTTCATCTGCTTTTACCAGGCTCTTGGGATAAAAAAAAACCCTACTGTTATTTGGCTTTCCAGTAGCCATGTTAGCTCTTGGTGTGTTAATCGTAGCACAGGAAGTAGCAAGAGCACAAAAAAATCATAAGAAAAATATGAGGAGCTGGCACTTTCATTTTTCTTTCTTCTTAGAAGATACGACTGTTATTTTTCTGTGATCTTCTGTGTTTCTACTAGTAGCCATTTATTATCCACTAGTAATTTATTCTCTGCTAGTAGTAATTTATTGCTTATTGTACTTCAGCTTGAGGTGAATCTCAGGCATTAATGTTGTGGCACGGCTGCAGATTTTCAGGTGTAAATCAAACTTGATTATATTTGTTTAATGTTACAGAGTCGTGGGATGCTTTGGGCTGGAAGGGACCTGTAGAAGGTCACCTTCCTTCACTCTGTTGGTGCCTCACCTGGGGAGCCAGGGTGCACATGTGCACACCTGAGTGCTGCTGGGTGGCTGGAGTGGAGCTGGGTGTGAGGGTTGTGCACTGCAGGGTGGGAGCAGTGTGCACAGGTCACACAGCTGGTGTGCTCACCAGTGTGAGCCTGCCTGATGCTGTTCTTCACAGAAGCCAGACCCTTAGAAGTAACCAGGTGTATTAACCTCTGTCTGAACACAGAATGTTGCTTGTGTTTCAGCCCACACCAACAACCAAAATGGAAGAGGGAAAAAACGCGCAGTCGACCAAGGTAAATACTTGTCTTTCAACCTTGTAATTTGTCACTTTGGACATGGAGTAACTTTGAAAAAAGGTGCTAAACTCTTTGCTGCTACATTGGCAAGTGGAACTGCTGTGCCATGGGGAGAGTACCCGTGTGCAGCAGAGCCAGGAGCTGGCAGGTGTGGGGCTGCAGTGTCTGGGGGCAGTCAGGATGCCAGGGGTTTTCTTGCCCCACAGCAGCTTAAAAGAGCTCTGCTGACCATCCTTAAATCTGTCATCTTTGTTTGAACTGGTGTAGGTCGTGTTCTGTAGCATTGAATGGTAAATCATCTCAATTTTTTAATTTTCTGACAGCCAAAAGACTCTCAAAACAAACAGCCATCTGAAGAAAGGCAAAAGGAACCCAGTGGTGTAAGTTGTGTAACTTCTGTCTTTTATGGTTTTTTTTCTTAATGAGAGGTCCTCGTGGTTTTTTTATTCTTTCTTTCTTCCTTTTATTTTTTAAAAAAACAAACCCTAAACAAACAAACCCAAAATAACTGAATCAAAGCAACCAAACAAAACCACAAAACAAAACAACGACCATGCAAACAAAAAAAAACCACAAACAAACAAAGCCTGTGAGTATTTCTTTATGTATTAATAATTGTTTCTCTCTACACAGGCAAAAAGCCAAACCTCATCTTCTGTGACTACCACTTCTAATCCAAATAATACAGGAAAAGTTGCTACAACTGCAGGTGACCAGCCTCCACAAGCAGCCTCTGCAGAGGCAGCAAAGGTACAGTAGAATTACCAGTCCAGTTTTTATTATTCGTGTTATTATCGGGCTTGGAAATCCCCATGGAGGTGGATTCTTATGCTGAATGTTGTGAAATGAGACTGTATCCCCAAAAATCACAACATAGAAGAGCTCAAAAGCTGTCTTGTGTGTATCACAAACCTCCTGGTGCGGCTCTGAAATCAGAGACTTAAACTCCACACTTTACCACTAATTAACTTAAACAACAATCCACTTCCAGTGGATGCTTAGTGGATAAGCACCAGCCACGGACAGAGCTGCTGATCCAGGAGCTGGCTTGTGCTGGCTGTTTGGTGATCCTGATGTGCATCCATCTTTCCCTGTCCTCCTCATACATCTGTTTTCACTGTCCCACACACTCTGCCTGCTAGGTGACCAAGTGATGGTGAGATTATCACAGTTTTAGGCCTGTCCCCATGTGTGACATATCTGGGGCTCCACTGCCATTCATGCCAGCTTTCTGCAGGTTCCTTACAGTGAGGTAGGTGTGACTGGGTCTTGGCCAGTCTTTTCCCTTGCCCCACCACTACTGATCATGAACAGAATGGATTGACTGGTCAGTCAAGGGAACTGTTTGTTTTGAAAAGCATTGCACCCTCAGGCGTGTTTGTAGTACCAGTGGTGGTGGCTCCAAATGCAGCCCAAGTGCCCTGACTGCAACACTCTGAAAAAAAACCTAGGAAGAGAAAGGTTGGGGGAAAAGCTGGTGAGAGCTCATTAGAGAGAGGGTCAGGTGAAGAGAAAGCTGGAGCAAAAGTATGTGGTAGAGTCAGGATCTGAATCTTTTGGTCTTCTAGTCTCCTTTGAAAAATCTTACACCATTCCCAGAAGGGTTGCCCAAGGCTGTGCCAGGCTGCCCAGGGCAGTGGTGGAGTCCCCACCCCTGGAGGGGTTTCCAAGCTGTGGAGATGTGGGGTGAGGGACACGGGGCAGTGGGGACCTGGCAGGGATGGGGGATGGTTGGACTCAATGATCTTAAAGGTCTTTTCCAACCAGAATGATTGTATGTGTCTGGGTGACAAAGCCAGAGTATGATGGACTCTTGTAAATCTGCTGTGACTTACTGTTTTTGCAGTGAATGAGGATGTCATTAATGCAGATGTCTGGGGGCTTTTTGGGTTGGTGTTGCTCCTGCACCTAACTCCCTGAAGCAGTGTTCACCCTTCCAATCTGAGCAGTGTTTGCTGCCAGGGTTAGTGCTGTACTGAGAACTATTGGGTGTAAAGGAAAGCTTCCCCAAGAGACTTGGAAGGGGCCTTACAGTCTTTCTGCACTGCAGATTTCTTTTACTGGCAAAGTAAAAAGAAGAGGTGGGGTACTTAAAATAACCTGGTTTCTTTCTCACAATCTCACGTGGTTTCTTTGAGCACAGTCACACTGGAGGCAGAGTGTGTCTCAGTGTTATTGCAGGTAGGTGGTCTCTCACTCTGCCCAAGCAGAGTGCATTAGCCAGTTGCTGAGTCAAAAAAAAACACAGACAGCCTCAGAGTTGGGTGTTTTAGGCTGGACTCAGTATCGTGCAGGCTGCAGCTACCCAACTTCCAGAGCACTCAGCCAGGAGGTGGAACCAGCTTGTCAGTTTTATTCACAGTGTAGATGAAGAGGGAAAACAGATACTCGTGCCTTGGTGGGACATGTGTTTTACTTGGTTTACTCTCTAGAATTTTTAACATAAGGCCATACAATAAAGCTGTCTCTTAATTTTTTTCTGTTATTTCTCCAGCCTAAGTCTGAGAAGGTGTCCACAGTGGTTGGTGCTGCGGGTGCCCAGGCAGCCAGTGCAAGTGTGGGTGCTGCAGCTGATCAGTCCAGTCCTGAGGTGGGTAAACACTGTCCCAGACAAATGCTTCCCTTCATGTCAGAGAATGTTTCTCCCTCTGAAACACGTCAGGTTCAGAAAAAATACAGTGGTAACTTCTGAACTCTAAAGGGGTGACTCGCTGCGTGGCAGTTCTGTGTGGTGCTGCAAGAATATCTGAAAGAATAGGCAAAAAACAACTGGCATGTCATTTGTGTCCTGTTGGGGTTTAGTTAGAATCACTTTCAACAAAACTAACATAAAATTAATTACTCTTTATATTCAGTTTTTTGTATGTACACATGTATATTGGCTGGTTCATAAATACAAATGTCTTGTTACTGGGCAGCGAGTGTAAGAACAGTTCTCACTGGAACATCTGGCCAGTGCACAGACTGCTGAAAGAAAACTTTTGGTTTGTTTTCCTGGAGTCTTCTGCAGATTCCCCAGATGATTCAGATGTTTTTTTTTCCTTTGTACAGCATAACTTCTATAATGGTTTGCTTACTTTTTAGCCTGCTATGGATGAGTCGGCACTCGATAGCCTAATAGATTCCCTGGGTGGACCTGAAGAAGATGCTCCTGCCAGTCCTGTTTACACTGGCCCAGAAGTTATGGTATTTCACATTTTTAATTTTTATTCTTTGGAAGACTCACCTCTGAATTATGTCTGTGGTTGTTGACTACTACACTGATCCAGTACTTGTCACTTTGGTCTGCTAAGATGTGCAGTAGGGTTGGCACAGTTGTGTTCCAGTGGTGTTGTCAGTAATACAGAAATGATACAGCTCTGTATTGTAGGAGAAAACAGTAAAGTGTCAAAGCCATTTTGTTGCATTTTGAAGTGCCTTCCAAGCATGGTCCCCAATGGGTTTACAAAAGGCAGTGGTGGAGGCACAAGAGGGATTTCGTTTGTACTTGAGAGAGTAAAACACTGAGAATCTGGGGAAGACTTCAGTGAGTTAGAGTGGGAGAGTACCGTGAGGATTAAGATTACAACCTCAGTGCAGTACTCAGCCATGATAAAGATTTTGGAATTAGTAAATATTTAAAATCCATTGTAGGTACAGCAATACAGTCTATGGGCTGAGACACTGCAGCTGGTTATGTCAGTGCAGGAGGAATGTGGTGGCAGAGGTGTGCTGGGTGCTGTGCACTCTGGAAGCTAGTTGAGATGCACGTGCATGACACTGGGGTCTGAAAGGCACTGCATAGTTGTGGTCCAGGAGTGGCCCCTCTGACCCAGCCAGCCCTCACAGTTTCTTTCCAGAAATATCACTGTAGATAGATCTACATTAGAAATTTATTTCAGTAAACAAGACTACAAAAACATGAATGTCTGCCTTCTTTTCACAGGAAGATGTATCTTCAAGATACTTGGAAGAACTGGGTATACGGGAAAGCAGTCTGCCTCCAGAGTATGTCAAATTGTTGAAGGTTAGTCAGTTAGAAAAAATACATTCTTCATGCATGTTTTCTTTCATGTTACATGTTTTTGGTTCCCATTTACCACAATCTTAATTCTCCTTTTAGAGCAAAGGGGATGGCAAAGATGGAGTCCCACCAAAAGCAGATGAACGAGATGAAGTAAGACTTAGCATTTTACACTGGAAGGTGAAAACAACCCATTTATCACTGGATTCCTAGGGAAATTGAAATGTTGCCTGTCTTCCAAAAATGCCACCAAGCAGGAAAGGACTGTGGCATGCCAGATAATGTGCTGAAACTAAATAAAAACTGGCAAAGATGTTTTTAGTAAAGAAGCAGGAATTCTCAGAACAGTGAAGCTGAACAAGTCAAATAAATCCTCACAGATGCATTGGGCATAATAATAACTAGGGGAAGAAATAGTAGCTGTGCATGGAGGATTTTTAATGTCTTTAGCAAGATGACTTGAATTTCTATATTTGGCAAGAGAATTCTTTAAGCCAGCTTAATTTTACTGTTTATAAAAAAAAAAAAAGCTTATCTGAGAAATGAATCAGGCGGGGGGGGAAATATTTTTATTTTTACTGTGACAGCAGTGTGTGCTGATGAGGTCATTGTGTGAGTAAGCCTGGGGCACGTTCAGATTCTAAACCAAGTTTGACAGCGTTGATATTTGAGCTTTAATAATCATAACCTAGTTTGCAATTTCTTGCTCAGAAACCAATGACAGATGATGAGCTTGCAGAGGCCCTGTCCTCTGACTTCAGCTGCACTGCTGCTGCCCAAGGAGAGAAGACAAGTCTGACAGAGGTACTGATATTTTTCTTGCCATTGCATGCCTTCCTTGCAATGAGACACTGCCATTATTTCACCTTAAAATGATCTTGACAGTTTTCCCCTTCTTTTTACTCTTGCAAATTAGCCTTTAATTTCATGTCTCTTGTAGAAACCAAGTAAGGAAGGAGAAATTGTGCAAGCACAAGCAGCAAGTTCAGTCAAGGCCTCAGCTCCTCCTAAGGAGGAGAAGACAAAATCAGAAGAGGTATGTTAACTCATTCTTGGACTAGTAACTTGTTGTTAAAATGTACAAATACCTCTTCTGTTTCCTGTGTGCCCCATGTTGTAAAGAAGCTCATCATCCTCATTTTCAGTGGTAAATCTGGTTTGTCACAGGAAGTATAGGAACAGTGGGAGTTGCCATTGCTCAGACTCTGCTGTACCTTAAAGATCCAGGGTTTGGAGGTCAGATGATTTTTCTTCTGGACTCCTGCAGAGTAACTGTGGTTCTTCTGACTAGGGGCAACAAAAGAAAGATCTGTGTTTTCTTAGCTATGTGTTTTTAAGAGTTGGATGTGATGCAATTGTGATATGCCTTACAGACCTTCCTTTTCTGCTCTGTAAAGAGCAAGTGTGACCTTGCCCTTCCTCAGGTGGCCACGTCACCTGGCAGTGTCTGGCAGCTGAGTCACGTGATAATGCATGTGCTTTGATTCCCCTTCCTTTTAAGTGAATGTGTGTCTTGGTTAGACTGTGCTCATCTCATCACATAATTTGCCATATTCTGCAATGTAATATTAAGGAAATCATTTAAAGCAAGACAAAATGATGGGTCTGGTGATGGCTGTTTAGTCCATGGACAGCACTGTGCAGGCCTGTCTGTGGCGGAGCCCCCGCCCTCCTCCCTGGCAGGGCTCTGTGCTGGCAGTCAGGAGGGTGCTGATCACACCCGTGCTGTGCCTGCCGCTGGGCAGGGCTCCCACAGCACCCAGGCTCCTGCTGACAGCCCCTGCAGGGGGCACGTGGGGAACAGAGCGGGGGCAGCAGGAGTTTGGGGGAGCACAGCCAGGACATCTGACCCCCGCTGACCAAAGGGGCGTTCCAGAGCATGTGGGCTCAGCTCAGCAGAGAGCTGGTAAAAGGAGGAGGAATTGGGGGGGCTGCTCCTGGGTCCTCTGGCACAACCGCTGTGCGTTTGGAGCCCTGCTCCCCGGGGCAGGCCAGACACCCCCTGGGGTGGGAAGGGCAGAATCAGTCTCTGGGTTGTTCCTCTTCTCTTCCACGCTCAGCATTGCTTGGCTTTGCTTTCCCATTCAGCTGCCCTTGTTTTACCCACAAGGGTTTTGTCTCAATCCCATTTTCCTTTCCCCTTTTGCTCTGTGGAGGAAGGAGAGGAAACGGGGAGGGTGACAGAGGGGCCTGGTGGGCACTTGCTCAGCCAGGGTTAACCCACCACAAGCATGAAAGATGTTTGAGGTAAAACCTGTGTCAGTTTAAAGAAGAAATTAAATTATTTGTGTGTTTTCTTAAATACAGGCTATTAAAGATGATGCATTGGATGCTCTTCTTGACACTCTTGGTGGACCTGAACCTGAACCTCCACAAGATGTCACCCCTGTTGTAGAGGTGCCAGAGGTATAATCTTTCTTTTTTTTTTTTATAGCAACTTTCAGGCTCTCCTGTGGAATCCTGGGTATTGTTAGATACTGCATAGATGTGTAAAATCTTAACAGAGTGACTTTCCTATCAAAGCCTTAAGGAATGTCTGAGTCTTAAGTGATTAAGAAATGAGGGATTCCTGAGTGGACACAGGTAGAGCAGAATCTAGTAAGGTGATAAGATGTTGAGCATTCTGTCTGTCTGCACAAGCATGCACACACACCCCCCCCACACACACACACACCCCCCACACCCAGCTCTAGTTGCTCTGTTTTTTTTTCCCCGAGGACTTGATACAATTTATAGCAGGCCTTTGTTTTGCAGGTGTTTGCTGTTGGGTTTTTAATTAGCTTTCTGGAGTTCTAGTGCGTGCACCTCTCTTTCCTTGAGACTCCATTGCCTTTCTCATTTGGGTCTTGCCTTTTGCTGTGTCTTCCAAGATTTCTGTTTGTCTTGAATAGTTAGATCATAACAGTAGCCCCATGTTTGCATGTTAAGCTTTGACTTTATAGTTTAGTCTTGCAAACACTGCCCATAACCCTGCTAATATCAGTTATTTTCCTCTGTCTTCACCTACAGCTTAGAGCAAACAAATGGTGGTGAGCTAGCAGAAAAGAATTCGTTGCTGAAAGATGTTGGAGCTCAATTTTGGCAAAAAAGAAAAAGCATGTTGTAATGCAGAATCAGTCTGCCTGGCCCTTCAGATAATCTAGGGGATGCATTGCTTCATGAAGGTTTAAAAACCTGTGTGTTCAGCAGCAGTGATGGAAAAAGACAAAGAATTGCTAGTGCTTCTTCAAACAGTGGACTGGAGAATTTTGATAGTGAAGTTTGGTGTACTTTGAGTCTTTTTTTTTTTAATTTCTCTTCACTGAATTTTTTTGTTCTTTCTAAGGTAAAATCTAAAGAGAAAAAAGAAGAGAAGCTTGGGGAACGTGATGATACGATACCTCCAGATTACAGGTTAACACCAGAGCTGGTAAGTTTGTCATATCTCCATTGCTTTGTAATTCAGGCAGTGCATCTGACACTTTCTTTGGTTACAGAAACTAAAAAATGTGGGGAAAAGCAAAACTAGTGTTTTTTCAACAGCTTTCTGCTGTTGGTGATTTCTGTATCTCTAGTTTCCTTCCCTTCTTTTGTGGATGACTGGGTTTTTCAGGCATTCTGAGCAAAGATCTGATCATGCCAGGTCATGCACTCCAAGAATGGTGGTGGTTCTTGTTTCTGCTATTAAACCTCAGCATTGTAAAATCCATCCATTTACAGAAGTCCTCTTGGGTGTCACTTTGTCATGTAGCTTGAAACACTGTTGTAAAATAGTATGAAAATTACACTCATTTTTTTCAGACTGTTACTTCGAGTGATGGAGATCTGTTCAAGGTTAAACAAAAAAAAAGAACAGACCTGAGGTGTGTGTTCCATAAAGTTCAGAAGTGAAAGTTTCTGCAACAGTTATTGCTATAAGTGATGTTCTACATCATGTGCAAGGTTGCTATAGAAACTGGCCTTGCTGGAGCCAGATGTTAACGTTGGTTGGAAAGGAGCAGTCCTACCCCTCCATTTCAGAGATTTCAAGACTGTGTGACTACAGACTTGGGATGATTGAACCCACTGTTCATTCAGGTGCAAAAGTTTTTCTTCTGCACTCAAAGGCTTTTTAATACTGGGTGAATTCCTGCTTGTTTACTATGGGATTGATTCCTGCTCCATATTGATAGAAATGAGCATTTTTTGGTGTCTTGGGCCATTTGTGCTGTGCTAACATCACAATTGCTATTTTATCCACTTACCTGGCCAGGTAAGAGTTCCTCCTGTTTAGAGGTATTCTTGTTACTGTGTCACTGATTTCTTCATATGAGTATCATTTATTTTATGTTACTTTGCTGGTGATTATGGGTTATGGGGTTTCTTACAACAGTGGATAGAAGGATGTCAATAATACTTGCTTTACTTTTAGGATAAACATGGAAAACCAATATTGCCGAAGCCTGAAGAAAAACCTAAGGTTAGAAATCTGACAGTGTTGTAGGAGTGTGAATAGATACCCTGCTTTCCTCCCCCTCTGTCACCACCTCTCTGTGCTGTTACCTAAGTCTCTTGGTCTGCTGCTCTGAAGTGTCAAGTGAGAGTTGGTTTTGTTAGAATTCACTGGCTGTGACTAAACAGTGCATAGTAAGAGAAAGGTTTAGAGATTACTGAGGTAGGAGAGAGCTGTGGAGTGAGTGCTGACACAAATTAAATCTTTATGAGGAGTTAGTGTAAGGTGTTCTGTGGAAATCCATCAGAGCTGTAGGACAGAGAGAGATGAGGCAGGAAAATCTGTTTTCTTGACAGTTTCCTCTCATTAGTCATCAAATAAAAAGGTGGAAAAAGCTGCTGTGGGCATTTTGCTAATGACAAAGAACACCTTGGACTTTGCAAAAAGTACCCATCGTGGCCCAGAAAGTGCAAGATAGAGTGAGGAGATGGAAAGAGAAAGTTACAGTGGTTAATTTAAGATGCACAGGAAGAAAGCAGAAGGGAGGAAAAGCAAAGGAGCTGTGCAGTGAAGGAAACGAAGGCTTCACTTTGCTGTGAGCTGGGGAGTGCTGCCATCACTGGAATAGCAGTTCCCCCATTTTTCTGGAACATCTGTGAAGGTTCAGGGGCAATCTGAGCAAGAATGACACTCTGCCTTTTTTAGCAGAAATCTGTATTATCCAAGCTTGAATATGGAGGAACACAAAGGCAGTGATGAAAGGACTTCATGTCTCTGAAAACCTGTGTGTCAGGTCTCAGACATGCAGTCGTGTTGAGTGGGTGATGTGGGAGAGCTGCACAGAAGGATCCCCTGCTGAGCATGTCATAAGGGAGGAAGGTGAAAGGAGCTGTGCTCCTGAGGGAACCACTCATCAGTGGCAGGAGACAAGCCTTCCTCTTTCACAGGCAGCACCAAGGAGATGGCACACACGAAAAATAACAGCTCCAGAAGAGGAACACAGCATGAGTTAAGAGAGCTTGGCTCCTAGTTTGAACTTGTAAAGGCCAGTACAAAACCAAAGCAGAAGGTGACCTCAGAATCATGAGGTCTTAAGCCAAAATAATTGAGTGGTTAGTAGAAGAATAAGTGCTCCCATGATCTTCCATCCCTATCCATCAGAGACAGGAATCTAACTGAATAGTTGTGAGTGACAGGGGTATGGAAGTCATACATTGCAGTATTTTTCTCAGTATTTGTAATTTGAAGGTGATTTTGAGCAAGATGTTCTGACCAGCACTCCTGTGGTGTCACCAGTGATTTGGTTCTGTCAGACCCAAGCCAGGAAAAAAAAAAGTTATGCCAATAGCTGAAAAACCTTCAGCCACTCACAGTTCTTCCTTGATTCCTGGTGAATGCAAAGTTCTTCTTCCACCATGATTTCAGCTAAGGCTTGTGTCACTTTGGGCCCCCACTCTGCATACCCTTAAGCACATGCAGGGCCATTACTTCTGTGAAAAAAAGCTGTTATTGCCTGTGCACCACTTGATCAAGTTGTTGAAAGAAGAATCCAGACATTATGAACAGTGGGGCTTTGCATGATAGGACATTTTATAAAGACTTGAGGGCCCTGACTGACAAAGGAAGGGGGATAAATTAGACACTCTCCTTTAGAAATCTTACTTGATGTATTATGAATTTGACCAACTGAGCCCTAACCAAATCAGTCCCATGTAGCATGGGAGTGGCAATCACTGCTAGCAAAAATTCAAACACTTAGGTGTAAACAGCAGTGTGAAGGGTCCCAAGAGCATCAGTAATAGGTCATGGAAGTACATGGATCACATAGCACTAGATCACTAGCATCAACAAATTGTAATAAATCACACAGGAGGCAACTAAAACCACAGGTACTCTTACCTAAAACAAGCACAGAGGAAACCACTGAGTGTCAGCAGTCAGTGCATAAACTAGGAGAACTTCCAGGTGATGCTGCCTCTGGAGGAACTCTCCTGCTGCAAAAAGAAAGAACAGAGTTTAAAAAGGGAGAATCATAACCTGATCATGCTGCTTTGCACGACCTATGTGTGATTTATTACAGCAGCACAATGCTGTTCTAGTCAGTAGTCTCTAGTAAATATTAACATTCTTTTTTCCCCTCTAATTAAGAGGATAATCTTCCTTTTCAGTAGCCTTGTAAACAGTATTGAACATAATGTTCTCTGCATTATATTGATTTCTGATAATAAAGCAACTGGCTTGTTCTGAAAAGTGATTTTCTTAATTGTATGTACTGCAAAATTCATGCTGTTTTGTTGCACATAAATGGGAAGGGTTATTTTGGTGTAGGCTACACAGGTTTTCCTGCTTTCTGAGTAGCTGAAATATAATTCTGGAAAAAAAACAAATTGAAAACAGGCAGTGAGTCACCTGTACCACGTGTGTCTTTTTTGCAGCCTTTAAGTGAATTGGATCTTGTTGATGAGTTTTCAAAAGACTTCTCCTGCCCCGCACAGCCTGCAGCACACCCCAAACCAGTGGAGCCCAGCAGCACAGCCAGAGTACGTCCTCCAGTTCACTGAAGATGCTGACACTGGTAGTTCTGCTAAGACTGGATAATGCTGCTGTTCTTCCAAGGAAAATATTTTCTTCTGTCTCTGCTTTTCCCCACCCCATTGGCTTCAATGGAACATGCAGCATTGACGTTGAGCCCTTCACTGAGGGGCTTCTACATGTAAATTTAGACTTATCAGTCTTGTTTTCTACTGTATTAAAAAAAAATTAAAGCCACTTAGCAGGTACATTTTGGGTTTCTGAGCATATTCAGTAAAATGCAGTGTAATGTTTCTGTTTCAGAAGCCTGTGGATGCTGTGTCTGCAAGAGCTGGTAAGGACGAGGCCGTCCCTCGAGCCACGGCTTGCACGGTGCAGTCCTCAGCTCCAGCAGCTGTGTCCTCAGTAAGTAGCCTGAGCTGCAGCTGGGGCAGAACACGGTGTCAGTTACCTGCTGGCAGGGCCTCTTCCCAGGGTGCCTGTCTCAGTATTGCATAGACTTCCTGCACAGAGGTAACCCACAGAGCCTGAGTGCTTTCCAAAAAAATGCAGGTCAAGCACAGACTGAATGAGGGAGGTCAGTGACCTGAGTGGGGGAAGATGAACTGACAGTTCCTGAGGTCTACTCCAGCTCATTTAGAAGGGTTGCTCTTTGCACATTTAGTGGATACTGCAGGAAAACAGAAATGGTACCAAAAAATCATAACTGTCCTACTGAGTATGTCAGAAGGTTGCATTAATGGCTGACATTCTTGTACCTCTTCTCAGAATATATGTACCTCTGTTAAAAAACAAACCAGATAACCCCACCCTGAGAAACATTCTAGCTGTGATTAAGTCTCTGGAAGTGAGAAACCTGTTCACAGAGCAGCCTCTGTTTTGTTTTTTAAGGAAACACAAGTTTTCCTTATGCCTTGAACTCAGCAGATCCCAAGTATATGAATACCATTAGGGAGAGAAGCACTAGTGGGTTTTAATTTACTTATTTATACTTTAAATGGTATTTAAACCTTAAAACCTTAAAGGTTTTAGTTTACTGTTTTTACCTGAAGTAGGGTGTGGCTGGTGGTAGTGGTGTATGATCAGGTTTCTTCAGCTGAAGCTGAACTCCAAACTAAGAATTGGGTTTTACTGTATTATATCACTAAATTTTTACCAACTGAAAGCTCAGATCACTGAAGAGAATTGGTTCTGTTGTAGCTCAAACCAGGGCATTACCTTTGCAGGTTGGTCACGTGGCAGATGAAGCACTGGAAGCCTTGTCCAGCAGCCTGGGAAAGAGGGAGCCTGATCCAGATGAAAGTAAACCTGCTGTGGACAAAGTGAAGGTAGAGAAACAATCACATCTCAAAAAATAGGCTGTTGACTAGGTTGCCCAGAGGGGCTGTGGATGCCCCTCCCTGGAGGTGTTCAGGGGCAGGTTGGATGAGGCCTTGAGCAGCCTGGTCTTGTTGAGAGGTGTCTCTGCCCATGGCAGGGGGCTGGATGAGGTGATCTCTGGGCTCCCTTCCAGCCTAAGCCAGTCTATGATTTTGTGATGTACACAGAAAGAAACATGCAGATAAATTAAATCTTTCTCAAGATAAAAGGGTTTCTTTTAGTTTTCATTAGACTTTTAACTGGTAGTTGGATTGAATTAGACTAATTTGAATCAGTAGAGTGAAGACTTTGAAAGCTCACTCATGCATTTATGTTGGGATGTAGTTATTTGTTTTTCTTATTATTTTTATTTTGCCTTCATAGGAGAAAAACAAAAAGGAACAACTCAAAAAACTGGGCGAAGATGAAGAGACAATTCCTCCAGATTACAGATTAACAGAAGCAAAAGTAATTCATTTAATACCCTTTCACTACTTTCCTTTCATTCCTCAGAATATGTGGATGAAACAAACTCCATTCTGAAATGCTGATGTTCAGTTCAGCCATTTTTATACTATAGAAAAATCCCAGGTTTTAGCTCCTGAATATCTGACATGTATCATTAGATGCCTACAGAAGCACCCAGTGGTTTAGATGCAGTTACCTACATATGGGTATTTTTGGCTGAGATGACTGTGCTGCACTCTTTCATTAGCTTTGTGGGTTTTGTAACTCAATAAATTGAGATTTGTCAGAACCATTAAAAAAAAAATGGCATTTCAAGTTGGTGTTTTTGCCAACGTCACCACACAACTCATTTGGCATAAATGGGTTGTTCAGAAACAGCCAAAATGTGCACAGCAGCTGCCAGCCTCAGGGACTCCTGAGCAGCAGCAGTAGGTGCTTGGGGTCACTGGTGAGATCCTCTCTTTCAGTGGAAGGTCTCACAGGACTTGTGTTCCATGGTCATTAAGGACTGCTTGGTTTAATATAAGGGGATTTTTCTTTTGTAGGATAAAGATGGAAAACCACTCTTACCAAAACCAGAAGAAAAATCCCAGGTAAAAAAGTGAATATTCAGATAACTATGTAATTCCTGAATTGTTTACCCAAATGTCAGTAGAGTTTCCTAGCCTGCAGTTTAAAAATGGAGATAGACTGTGTTACCTGCTCAGTGCTAATAGATGAAAAGGCTTAAAAGCCTCTTTTCTGTTTTCATTTTAATGGTAGCTGATGAGTGAAAATGATCTTCTGGAGGGTTTGACAGAAGGGTTTTCCTGCTCTCCATCACCACCTGCACCATTGCCTACACCAACTGTAATAAAGGTAAGTTGGTTTCTGAAAATCAGTTTTATTTTCAAGTTGTTCCATAATCCTGATATTTATTTGTTTCCTCTAAAGTTTATATGAACACCCTTAAATAACATTGAATGACTAAAAATGTAAACTATTTTACAATAATAGGAGAGCAGAACCTTAACAATGAGAAAAAACCTAGGTAATTTAGTTGTCATAGCTTCTTACCAGTTGCTTGCATGAGTAGTTCCTTAGTGCTGAGAATTTTGGAAGTGTTAGGAGGGAATAGAGGTGTGTTTGGGGAAGTGTTGGGGCCTCTGGAGTCCCAGTAAACCTGTCTCTGGCCAAAGCTGTGCCAAGGTTTGACCCAGGAGTTGGGATGGAAGGTGGAATGTGAACAAACTGAGATGCTGAACTACTGCACAGTGCTTCTCAGGAAGGGGTTTCAAGCTGGAACAAGCAGACCTGAGAAGAATAAAGTCCTAGAAATAAACTTAAGTGTGGAATTTGATGCATATCCTTGTGTTAGTCCTCTGTGTTAGTGGTGCTGCTGTCTTGTTTCAGACAACCAAGGAGAGCGGGAAGGCCGCGGGGTCCTCAGACGTCATCTCTGCTGCTACAGCTTCTTCAGTGCACTCAGCAGCTCCTCCTGTTCCTGCCCTGGTGAGCAGCCTCTCCTCTGGATCCTCAGCTCAGACTCAGAACTGACTAATGGAGAGAGCCAAGAGCAGGACCTGGCCAGTTTTGCCAGTCACAGAACCCCAGCAGGGTGGGGTTGGAAGGGGCCTCTGGAGATCACCTCATCCAACCCCCTGCTCCAGCAGGTCACCAAGAACAGGGTGCAAATGCAGACTGTTGCAGAGTTAAATAATTTATGGCTAATGCTGACTGTTGAGGGAGAAGGAGAGTGTTCTGTGTCCTGTGCTGGTTCCTCCAGTTACTGAGGACATCACAGGATGGTTCATTTCCTTCCTGTGGGTAGGTGTGGGCAGTTACCACATGCAAGTAGTTTCCTCATTAGACTTGGGCCTTTAGCCAAAGTACACCTTTATTTTCCTGGTTAGGTAATGAGAACACTTAATAATAGTGTAGTCATTACTGTAGTGGCAAAGTTATCTGTTAAGCCTTTAAGAGGAGGAGGGCAAGGTTAATAGTGAGACAGGCAGCACCATGACCTCCTTTTAATGCCAGGGGAGCTTCCAGCATTGCCTTCACTGGTCATGTTGGTGGCTCTTTCTTCCTGAAATTCACTCAGCAGCAAAGCCAATTCCTGTCCAGCAGGGATTCCTGGTTGCCAAGGGGATCACTCCACCTTAACCTGTGTGCCTCCCAAGCTGAAGCTGTGGTGCCAGTTACCCACACGTGGTCATGACAGTCCCCAGAAGGCTCAGCCCCTCTCCTGGGGTTACCTGCCTCCATGCCAGGCTGTGACTGCTCAGCCTCTGCCCCCTCCAGCATCCTCACAGCATTCCTGTGGGGGCTCCAGGGCCATTCCCTTCTCCAGGGTTTGTCCATAGTCTTCATCACTTCTGCCTAGGCTGTTCTCTCTGTCAGCAGCTCTCAGTGGGGGCTGGGTACACAAGTGTCTGTGCAAACAGGGCGCCGTGGCCTTGGGCTGAGTCCAGCCTGAACACTGCTGAGAGCAACACCTGCTGATCAGGGACAGTACCTGGGCTGCAGGCCATCTGACTAGAGTCAGCCGTGGGCCAGGGAGTGCTGGGAAGGCATTTGTGTAGACTGAATTGAAGTGTACAGGGTTCAGCTGGGCCAAAGGGCAATTTCTTTCTGCTCCTCTTTGAGCCTTGAACTTTCAGCAAAGTTCTGTTAATGAGTTTCTCCTTATTCAGTCCCTCTTTCATTCCTCCATTTCGATCTGTGCAGTGGGATCTTCCTCTAGTGTTTCCAGCCACATTCTAAAAGGGAATATAAAGCTCCTTCTACCTGGGCTTTAGCTGGCTCTGAGGGCTTTTTGTCAAACCAGTGTTTGGATAAAAATGCTGTGAATTAGCAAAAAAACATACCTATTGGGAAGATAAGTGTTCATAAGTTTAATTCAGACTGACACTTCCTTAGCAGCTCATCTGCAGGGATAACATTTGCAGAATGAATGACAATTACCAAAAAACAAGCTTTTCATAGACCTCTTCTTACTAGAACAGTAATTAGGATTACGTGTACCAGAAGAAAACTGTTAAAATAAAATCCATAACTGCTTCTTAAGGTGATGTTTTTTGTAGGTCTGTAGATAAAAGGTGTTTTGTACATTTTTTCCCCAGCTGTTGCACAACATTGTAGTTACTAAGGGAGAGCTGATATTCAGTGTTCAGTGAAGCTGACAGTTTGTTAGTCAGCTATATTAACTGGATGAATTAAATAATTTTTAAGCAGATTTGCTTTCAGAGATGTGTTTATACATTATTAGGGAGGAAAAGAGATGGATGAAGCCTTGGATCTCCTGTCTGACTCCCTGGGACAGAGGGAACCTGACCCTGATGAGGGCAAGCCAGTTGTGGATAAAGTAAAGGTAACAAAGGACATTCTGAAACTTGGGTGTGGGAGGGTGGTGGGTACACACACAAGCATAAACTAACAGCACCCCAGGTCTGAGATACTTATTGTGCTGCTTAGATGTTGTTTTTTTTTTAATGGTGTACTGCAATGCTTGTTATATCCTTGTAGGAATATATAGCATGAGATTTTCAGATGTGGGAGTGAGATTACCATTAAAAAACTAACACATGTTCATGCAGTTCTACTGAAATTATTTCTCATCTGTCTTCTCTGTCCTCTGTTTCTAAAAATAATTTTGTGGCCTTCTTTTTGTTAAACTTTGACTTTTAGAACCTCACAAATACCAAGTTCATCAGCAGACATGTTCATTTAAGCAGTCCCATTTTTAAACTTGCTTGCTCCTACATTTGTCTTAATTAAGTCTTTAATTGTATGAAGACTTTCTGCCAGTAAGGAAATCAGACACATGCCTGCCTGCTAGCAGTAGAGGTACTCAATTGTAAACTGAAATACTAAGGTAAAGGACATTACTGGAAAAAAAAAATAAATCATAAGCTGCCCATGAGTAAATTTAGTCTGGTGTCTAGAAGGATGTTTCCAATCCCAGACCAGGTTGTTGGCTAATTTAGGAGCAGGTTTACATAGTCTGGGTGGTGATGTCCCTTGCCACAGCTTGATGTGTGGGATGTCAGCAGCTCCTGTGCCTCAGTGGAGCTGCAGGAGCCCAGCTTCCTTCATGTGCTGCTCTTTACAAAGATGTGGAAAAGGCTTATATTCAAAAAACAAAAGAGAAGAGATCCTTAAAATGTCTGTGTTAACAAATACAAAAATAATCTTCAACAACATGCTTAAAAACCTACTTGAATCTAAACAGGGTGTTGTGTTTGGCATGTGTCTGGCACGTTTGCCAGAACTTAGAGCAGCATAAATTAAAAAATAAACATAGTGGAAAGAAAGAAGGCTGGAGCCAGGGGGGGGTTGGGCTCTGCTCCCAAGGGACAAGGGACAGGACAAGAGGAAAGGGCCTCAGGTTGCCCCAGGGGAGGTTTCAGTTGTCCCTGAGGAACAATTTCTTGCCCTGGAGGGTTGCCCAGGGCTGTGCCAGGCTGCCCAGGGCAGTGGTGGAGTCCCCACCCCTGGAGGGGTTCCCAAGCCGTGGAGATGTGGGGTGAGGGACACGGGGCAGTGGGGACCTGGCAGGGATGGGGAATGGCTGGACTCCACAGGTCTTTCCTAACAAAACAATTTCCTGGTTCTGTGAATGTTTCCCTTGATGCAGCTGTCAGGAGCTGGTGGTGCTCTGCCTCCTAGCTGTGTTGGGTTTGAACCTGCCTCTGACCCCCAGGTCTGATGAGAAGCAGAGGCTGCTCTGGTCAGTTTGGGGGGGTGGGTAAGTGCCCCGGGTGCTCCTGAGGGTCCGTGGGGTGTTCAGGAGTGAGGTGCTGCAGCAGGGCCAGTTCTGTGTGCAGGCTGCCCTGTGTGGGTGAGGCTCAGTGTGCCAGTACAGAATGGCTCATTCAGGTCATACTGCTGAAAAGCAGAACTGACAGTTGGTGTAACTTGTTTTGTGTTGGGGTGCTGCAGTGTGTCTATGTCTTTAACTTGCCAAACGTGTCCACTTCTTGAGAGCTAGCAAATTTAAAACTTTCAGGCATGAGACACCCTTCATAGTGAAATAAGTATACACTTTTTTTCTTGTAATTTAAAAATTTTAAAGTAGAAGAAAGCATCTGTTCAAAGTTTAATGGGCCCTCTGACTTACTGTTTGCTAATATTTTTCACCTAAGTGTTAAAGTTGTTTAAAAAATTTCAGGAAAAGGCTAAATCTGAACACAGAGACAAACTTGGAGAAAGAGACGATACCATCCCACCTGAGTATAAGAAACTTCTGGAGTCAGGTGCACAGGTAAGGAAAACCTTTGTTAGTTCTTATTTGCAACACCAGAAATGTGTGGAGATGAGCCAGTCTGTCCTCTTCAGAAATGAGAGGAGAGCAGGGAAGCTGTGTGAGCTGTAGGTAGGGGTGTGTTGGGGTTAAACCTGTACACATCCTACACATGACTGCCTCCAAATATCCTTGCACACAGTTTGTTCAAAAAACAAACAAGTCTCGTTTGGGTTGGTTTGGTTGTTTTTTAAATAGACCCATCTGAACAAATAAATCACTTGGAAACACCCAGGATCAGTCAGTGTGGTAGAGATGTATCAGTGTAGATTCCAGCCACAGCAGCTCAGGGGTTTAGGTGCTACCAAAACCAGGTGAAAAAATAGTGTGTCTCCCTTCAGCAGCGTGCCCTTGCAGTCTGCCTCTGGGGAGGTGGTACCTCCACAGTGCAGGGGTGAGCTCAGTCACTCCCAGTGGCTTCCCTCCAGGCTGGGGACAGAGCACGCTGCACCTGGAGCCTCAAAGCTGCTGCTGTTGGAGCACGAGCACCCTGGCAGGGGTCTGATCTTCTGTGGATCAGAAGCTGCTTTTCCAGTACACTGCAAGGGTAGAGAGGTGATAGTGTAGCCAAAATAACAGAGCATGAGAGCACGTTGTGAGCTGGCCTTGAGCACACAGCAGGAGCCATAGAGATGTCAGAGCTGTGCAGCTCTCCTGGTGATCTCTGAACTCCCAGGGTCTCACCTACATACTTGTGCCTCAAAACTCTGACCAGTCCAAGTGAAGATGTGATCTTTCTTCTTCCCCAGGGTAAGCCAGTGAAGCCAGCAGCAAAGGATGATGTGAAACCCAAAGAACAAAAGGTAACAAGTGGAATGTTTACATTCTGTGTTTGTTTCATACTCTGTGCTCTCATGGTTTTTTGGAGGTAGTTGTTGTAGGCTCAAGGCAGGATTCATTGCAAATTCTCATAAGCTGCAGATTGCCATAAAAGCTCCAGTGCAGCAGGTAGTAGTAACAGTGTGGACTGTAAAATGTCTGTGAAAAGTAATTTCACAATGAACAGTTTTTGTGGAGAATTGCAGTGTGAAAGTTGAGGCCCAGTATTCAAACTGCTTATCTTGGAATCCTCAAATAGACATCTCTGTTCTAACACAGGTGCAGAGTTTGGGTATGGGGTGGTGGTGGTTTTGTTGGTTGGTTGGTTTTTGGGGTTTTTTGTTTTGTTTTGTTTTTTAGAAAAGCTTAATTAAAACAGACATTAACTCTTGAGACATTAATTTCCCTGTGGGAAGTACTGCATATTGTGTGACTTCAGAATTAAACTCATTGCAGGAGCCTACAGATGACTCTGCAGCTATTGATGCCCTCTCAGGTGACTTTGATACTTGTGCAAAGGCTCCTGCCACACCACAGCACTCAAAGGTAGGACATTTTCTGCTAATAACTTGCAAAATAAACAGTTTTCCAGTAGTCTGTGTAAGCTCTTCAATTTGCAGTAGCAGTAGCCTCACTGGAAGGGGCTGCCCAGGTGTAGTGATATTCAGGAGGGTTTTGCAGAGACAAATACTGTAGACAAGAGTTTTAGGTGTCTTGGGGAAAATAGTAGAACTGACAAGAAAGAAGAAGGAATGAACTGGAGAGGCCTTGTAATGAGACATGGAGCCTTTGTGTCATATCCTGAACACAGGTGACAAACTGTGTCACCATTCCCAGCAAAGTGCTGCACACCTGAGGCTGTATGAAGAGGACTAGCAGGGGAGGCTGCAGAGCTCTGGAGGTGCCCAACAGGAGGATGGTGTTTGAGAAAGAGTATGAAGAAGGGGACTGAGACTTGGTCCACCTTGAGAAGAACCACTGTCAGCTGTGCTTTCTGCTTGCTCTTAACCCAGGTTTTGTTAACTTGAGCTTGGACAGGGGGAGAGGTCTTGCATGGGTTTGAGACATCCACCTGGCCCCTGCAGGCACCTTCAGTGCTTCCTTGGCAGAGGGGCCCAGGGGCACTCAGGAGCACCTGCTGCTCCTGGACATTGCTGCAAAAATTGTGGACTCCTGTTGTTTCCAACAGGTGCTCAAGCTAGTTAAGAGCCAGTAACTCACTCCTGAAAGACATTTGCACTCTTGCCCTCTAGCACGTGCTGAGCAGAAAGGAAACCTGACATTAACTAAATTAATATGCAAGTGCCAGCTCCTGCCCCTGGGTCAGGGCAG